TGGTGATATTAGAGTTTGTTCATCTAGGTAGCTGTCGTTAATTATTAATTAGTGGTTTACAATGCTTTGCAGATTGCTTCTTGGGAGTTATAGAGATGCTATATTAGATTTTCTATAGAGTAAATTGCAATTTTGATACCCAAACTAAAGTTCATTTCGGAATTAGTACCCGTTTTTTAACATTTGGAAAATCAGTACCCAAACTTTCTTTCTGTTAGCAACGTTAGTACCCGGCCGTTAGATCTCCGTTAAATTTCCGTTAGTTGTTAACGGAAGTAGGCAAAATGGAGAAATTTTTTATGTTTTTTTGGCTCATGATGAAATCTATATACATAAGATATTTGTACCATTTTTTTTTCAAAAAAAGGCAGCCTCCACTATTTATAAGAAACAAAATTGGATAAAATCGATTTTTTTTGGAAAAAATATTATAAATCGAGAAAAATGAAAAGACATGGTTTCTCTTCTAGTTCATGCAGTATATATTGGAATAATAATTTTCCAATAACAAAAATACAAATTTCCTTCTATTTTGCCTACTTCCGTTAACAACTAACGGAAATTTAACGGAGATCTAACGGTCAGGTACTAACGTTGCTAACAAAATGAAAGTTAGGGTATTGATTTTGCAAATGTTAAAAAACGGGTACTAATTCCAAAATGAACTTTAGTTTGGGTATGAAAAATGCAATTTACCCTTTTCTATATGTATGAAGTTTAGAAAAGCTTTGCAAATTGCTTATTGGGGGCTATAACGATGCTATTGATCAGTGACTAAGACAATAAGTGTTGGAACAATAGAATCCTACGGTTGAATCTCTTTCCTAGTCGGAACTCTACTTGGGCAATAAGATGCCTTAGTATATAAAAGGTGATCAGGCTTTTACTTTACGACTAGTAAGGTGCACGTGCTTCGCACGTAAACCATAAAATTTGTCTAATTGAATTTGCATGGTTTTAAGTTGATTTGAGAAAAAAATATAGTATTTATTATATACGTTTTAAGTTAAATATAAGTATATATAAGTAAAAAAATTGCTAGAATTATACATATATATTTATTATGAGAAACAAATTGTTAAGGGCGTGATTATATATGAGTTATAACCGATCTTAATCGGTTATAATTGGTTGAGTTATTTCATATCTAATAATCTAACTCAAAAGAAAACTCAACTTAACTCTCATACTTATTATAAATATAAACAATAATTCTCATACATTACCTCAATTTTTATTTACTATTCATATGCTAATATAATTTTAATCACCTATCATTTTCGATAATCTCTCTCTTACTTTTACATCACATCAGTTTTAATAATTATATTTTAGATATTATTTAATTTCATACTCAAAATCATCCACTTTTTGTACTTTATTCAAACTAGTTCACTTTGACTAATTTTAGTCAAACAAAATTGGTCAAAATTAGTTGGGTTCATATTCAATCGTGCCTAAGAAGTTCAACAAATATTCATTTTGGAAGTTTGAAGACAATCAATTTAATGCTAATTAAACAAATGTTTCAAGTAAAATTCAACAAAAATTGAAGACACATACACAAATACAAACACATTGTCAAAAATCATGAAGTTTTAAATTTTATTTGAAAATGATATGATAATATGAACATGGTAAAACTTGCCTAAAAAGTTATTGTAATACTAATAGAACAATGAGTATATTTATTAGCATTTATATTTCATTCAATTTAATTTTTTTACCTATCGTATTTAACATTTTACTTATTAATCATCTTAATCGATGTCCTTGTAAACATTAAATATAAACAATTTGAATTAGGTATATTCACTTTTATCTAAGAGTACAGAATAAGTATTGAACTCGATACAAAATATTTGCATACTGCAAAGTACAGTGAGTTTTGACATATTAACGTAAGGATAAGTAAAAGTAAATATATGGATGAAAGTTTTATATTTAATATAAAAATTATATGATGAAGGAGTCATAGTAAAGTGTGATTGTCTTTATAGAAAATATTTATTTGTGTCTTCATTGAGAAATATGATTTAACAGTTGTCCACGTTGATACCTAAAAATGAAAATTATAAATGTCACCTCATTCTTACAAAATTATAGATGAAATAAGTTTGATTAAAAGTTAAAGAAAAAAGGTGGATAGTTCGTTTATTTGTCTCTTTTCAATTTACTTTTCATACAACATTTGTTTGCATAAATTGATACCAACCATTACTCTTAATTACGTATATTTCATATTAAATTATGTCAAGCAAATTGATGAATAGTACACCAATTATTCTATATGGAAGAGATATATTAATGCAAAAAAAAGTATATAAACTACAAACGGTATTCATAATTTTAATACACACCAACAATTTAAATCTATATAAAAGGAGTAGCCAATTTTTATTTTGCTATATTTTTAGTAAGGAATTTTTCTATCCAAAGTTTTTCTTTTTTTTTTTTCCTTTTCGTAATTTGATACACAATTTAATGTATTCATGATTTTACAATTCATTATTGCCATTATATTTGAAAATTTTATAACTAATTAATTTGGTCAAATAAGTGTCTTATATGGATGATTAAATTATAAATATGATTTATACAAAAATTAAGATACATTTTTATGTAGAAGCAAATAATTTTGTAATGTAATAGACACGTGCTATAGATCTATGCCCTTTAAATTGTTTTAGTATTTCTAATGTTTCATGTTTATGATTAATATTTTATGTACTTAATTTGGTCAACCTACATAAAAAAAAATAATCATAGTTGTATAAAATTATTATTCAAACACAAGTCATTAAAATTTAAAAATTAAATTAAATATACATAATAATTTATGTATATTTTTAAATATATTTATATACATACATATATAAAAAAAAACTAAGAAAATAAAATAAGAATTATTATTATCTAACATGGTGACATATGACTGGACCCTCATAGTGGATAATACATTGAAAACATAAATAAAAAATGTGTGTGAAGTTAGTTTCTTAAATAATTATTTAACATGAAATACCACATGTTAGTGCATTTTTCCCGCATTAGTTTGAAAACATTATGCTGCAAATGAATATAAAAATGTTAAAAGAGATAAATAACTGTTTCAAACTTCAGTTACATAGCATTAAAATGAAGAACTAATGGCGCTCATAAATCATAGGCATATTATTTGCTCAAAGTAAAAGTAAAAAATAACAATATATAATTTTATAAATTAAAGTGTAGAAGTAATTAATAATTTTTCAAATAACATAAGTTAAATAACAAATTGTTATTATGAAAATATAATAAAATATTACTTAATAATAAATCATTTTAATTATGGTACTACAATTTGTGTGTTGTATGGGTGGATAAGCTAGTATTAGTTAAGCGTTTCACAAGCCTTTTGCACTTTAGTCGTTTATTTTCCATCCGCATGTGTTTTGATTGAAACAAAAGCAAGTGAACTATTTTTGTATTTTTCCACCTAAAATTTGTTGGAGAAAATTAGAAAGTTAACAAAATGTTAACCATTAAAAATTACGAAGTAACTAATAACATAAAAAAATATAAGTAAAAAGCAAATTGTTATTATAAAAATTACCCAAAATATAAAATGTAAAGAAATGTTTATATAATTAAGGAACAATTACTACTCTCTCATTAAATGGACTCATAACAAATGACAATTAAGCCATCAAAAGATTAAAAGAGTAAGAGTAATTTTGTCTATCCAAATTTTTACAAAAATATTCACAATTTTTTTTTGGTACAAAAAAGGAGGACAAAGCCTAAGAAATACTAGATCGGAATACGACGAGGATACGTCACGCCGATTATGTCATGCATGAGCCAATGCCCGAGCTCCATGGGCGGTTGCAAAAGGCGGTGGTAACCCACCGGGACGTCCGCCGCGAGCGAAGCTAAAGTGTCAGCCGCAAAATTTCTTTCCCGATGGATATGAGAAACCCGAACCAACTAATCTTGTTGAGTAGCGCACGAATAGCCTCGACGATCTGGCCATGGATACCGGAATTTTCCTCATCCCCTTGAACCATAGCAACGACACATTAACTATCCACTTCCACGAGCACTTTCCGCGCACCTAATTCCCAAGCCAAATGGAGTCCGTGGAAAAGTCCCCAGAGCTCTGCCCCTGAGATAGTGCAAGAACCCACGTTCATAAGGAAGCCGGCCAACCAACGACCAG